TTCAAATTAAGTCGTACCCGCTGTCCGTATGTATTGCTCGTGCTTAAATCTTTTACACTATGTTATGGATTTTGATTTGTAATAATTATAAAAATTTGTAATTGTAAACACTCGTTGGGATCTGTTTGTTTATTTGGTAACTGTTATGACATGATATTACTTGTAAATTACAATAGGTATATAAATTAATATATTCCTTTTACTTGTAAAACTTTAAATTATAAATTTTGGATTTATTAATATTAGTATTGTTTATCACATTATATATAAACATGTGTACTATACACATTTCTCTCTACTCAAAATTTGCGTTTGGGCATAACAGCTTAGCCACAAAGCTGACTCAAGCAATTTGGTCGCAGCTATATTAGTTAAATAATCAAAATAAAAAATAATTTATTCATGTAGGTATTATAATATTTTTCCCTACCGGCCAGTTCAGTATACAGTTCTTCTTAATTGAATATTAAGAAGAACTGACAAGAAACTTAATTGATTTTTTAAAAAACTTAATTGAATATTAAGAAGAACCTGACAAGTCAAATTCTTCATTTAGTTGATTTTTTAAAAAATTCACGGTATATATACCTTATACACTCTGTACTTATGTTGGTGTGAACTTCAGACTGGTTGGTCGTTAGTTAACCACTAGGTCATCGAGACCGTCAAAATTATGGTCACTTTTCGACCAATGGGGGTCGCCCATTGGTCGAAATCGTATATTGAAATGTACATAATTACTATTTCTCTACGATCTTTTCGTAGCGAAAGAAAAACACAAAGATCCCAAACAAAGTCTCTGACACACGATAAATAATGGAAGTTTGCCTCTGACATCCCGCCAAATGAGTATGCCCATCTCTTACCCTGTATCTCCCTCGCACGTGTAGCTGCGCCGTGAATTTTTAATGTGTCTGTCACTTTCACACGTTGGGGAGGCTTTGTTTTGTTTAATGCATTTGTTGCGTATGCCATCACTGATTTGTCTGTACAAATGTTACGTTAATATTGTTTGTTAATATTATATAAATGAAATGAAATCGAGTCAATTTTTAAATGATTGATCTGTATTGGCGGAATGTTTATCCTAATAATATTATAAACGCGAAAATTTGTAAGTATGGATGTTTGTTACTCTTTCACGCAAAAACTACTAAATGGATTTTGTTGAAACTATACAGCAATATAATAATAATCTCAGGACAATTCACACAGTGCCATCTAGTCCCAAGTTAAGCTAGCTAAAGCTTGTGTTACGGGTACTAGATAACTGATACATATACATAGATCATTTTTTTTCGTAAATACATTCATATTATACATATAAAACACCCAGACTGATACAAACAATCATACTCATGAATACAAATGTTTGTGCCGTGCGAGGAATCGAACGCGCGACCATCGGACGTAAAGCGGTGTGCTAGACCGCTAGACCACCGAGGTCGTCAATATAGCTTATGCATCAGAATAACAATAACATGAATAATACATAGGCTATATTTTTAATGAAATTTATATATTGAAATTTAAAGTGGGTGAAACTGTAGGCACAGCTAGTTATTACAAATAATAGTGTTTTAAACTAATATTATATTCGCTTTGGTGGTGTAGAGGTTCAAGCACACTGTCTTATCGATGGTAGTGGGTTCCATTCTCGCACTATACAATATTTATTTCCTTTTTGAGTCTGCCAAAAATCTACAAACTGATATCTTTAGTAAAGATCAAAACATTAAAAAGAATAGTAATAACCCGGACAATTCATATAGAGCCATCTAGTAGAAATAGAAATAATCTTTATTCAAATAAACTCAATATTTTACACTTTTGAATTTAATATTTTTTATATTCTACCACTCATTCGGAACGCAGACATCACAAGAAGAATGAACAAGAAACGTGTGTTGCTCTTTTGAATAAATGTTATTTTAAATCAATAATTACAGAATAACAAGAGGAATGCGATAATAAATATAGAAACTGCTACGCACTCATTCTCAGTATTCTTAGTGCAGTCAGATAATATTATCAGCGCTTTGAATTTCAGTTTTTTTTCTACAAAAACATTATTATCATTTACAAACTCTTCAATTTGTACAATAAAACTCTTGCCATCATTTACCATCAGATGAGGTAAGTCCAAGCGCAATCCCATTATTAATAAAAAAAAAAATTATAATACGCATTTTTACAGAGAAAGTGTTTTATACGACATTTGCATGTTTTTCGGGCAAATTTAGAACAGATTTTGATAGTTTTTGTAAAACCTTACGCAATTACAATAAAACGAATAATAAATAAAACTTTAAACAAACGACAATTAGGTAAAACCAGTTTGTTATTATTCCGTGAGCTTTTATTAGTGTAATCACTAACTCTCTTGAAATTGTCTATATTTTTCCTGGCATACATGATACCATCGTAAGTGTATTGAGAAGCAACGGTGAGGATATTTCATTTCTTAAAGCACTCTCGCAAAGATTCCCTGGAACCCTACCAAAAATGGAGCGAATGGCCCTCTTTTGTATAATAAATACTATATTTATATCTGCTTTGCCCCATAACAAAATACCATACGATATAATGCTATGGAAATAGCTAAAGTAGACACGTCTGTTAATTGTCTAATTCTTCTTATCACATACGCGGCAAAACTAAGACGACTAGCCAATTTAGAAATATAGGCACCCAATTGTAACTTGGAGTCTAATGTGATACCTAGAAAGACAGTATCGTCAACAAAATTTATAGGTTTATTGTCCAATAAGAATTTTTAATCTACCTATCTTACGTTTGGAGAGCGTAAATGTAATACACTTACTTTTTTTTTAATTTAATAGCATATTATTAGCAGTAAACCATTTGAAAACAGAAGAGAGAGTACTGTCCCAAGTTAATCAGAGCTTGTGTACTATAAAACTGACATAATCGTAAATACATTTATTGTAAAAATTGTGTTATAACATTTTTTTGCTTCTAATGTTCGCGGGTTCCATTGGTACAAATATTTTGTATTCATGACTATGATTGTTTGTCAATCAGTCAGTCAGACTAATGTCTGGATGTTTTGTATGTGTAATATGTATGTACATTATAATAAAAAGTATTTGACTATGTTAGGAATAGAACCCGCGACCTAGGAAAATAAAGCTGTATGCTAAACGGCTAGACGTCCGAAGTCGTCAAAAAAGAAAAAGTAACTTACTCTACATACGTAACGTACTATACTTATTGTTATTTCTATATCTGTGCGCAATAAAGAGTTACTATTATTATTACTATTTAATATGGAACTCCTTGGGGAAATCGTGTCCCACTTGTGGGACAGTAGACAGGGACTTTTGCGCGTTGATCCCAATATTATCAGAATCAATAGCTGCAGGGGTTGAATGAGAAATGACCCGCGATTTGTGGGTAATCTTCGGAGTTTAGTCGATTTTTTGCGATTACTTTTTTGATTAATGATTTCTCTGTATGGATTGACCGCTGTTATGTGCTTACGTATCCATACTAATAATATAAATACTATCTGTGTGTATGTTTGTTAGGTTTTTACAATTAAACTGTTACATTAAATTTGAGGTGTGACGTTAAGATAAATTATATTACAAAGACGACCATAGACTATCCTGTATTAAATAAAATACAAATATTGTCTATATATAATACCTATAATATATATAATATATTACTCCGTCTGTTTTTTGCCTGTTTGATTGCATCTGAGCGGTTTCGGGTCGCTAAACTCTTTATACATATATGTGAACATGTATAGGAATGTGGACAACTGTGTTAAAAAATGTGTAATCTGTATGTACGGGGCTGTATTTTATTATCAGAATTGTAGAAGGATGGAAAGAATTGTTAGAAAGGTCATAGATATTTTGAAAAATAGGCGGAGAAAAATGTGGGATACGGTACGACGAAATAGTATGTAGTAAGTACTTAAGTATAAAATTATGTGACGAAAAATTGAAGGACAGAGGGGACGGAGAAGACCAAAGCACTGTTATTTATTTATTTTATTTATTAAAACTTTAATGCACATAATTGAAAGTACATATGGCGGACTTAACACCATGCGGCATTATCTACCAGTCAACCATGGGTGGTGCAGAGAATAATTGTTGGCGGTGCAAATATAAAAAATATATTAAACGATACACATAAAAATATATATAAATAAATAACTACATAGATATATATATATATACATACATAAACCATACATAAATACATATTTATTAATCTGACAATGAAATATCATGTACTGCCACAATAATGGAAATAAATAAAAAAAAACCTATACGTAAAAATAAAAAACAATGAGAAAACAGGACACAGGTTACAAGTTTAAATAATGTTCCCGTAATTTACGTTTGAAAGAAAATCTACTCGTGGCGGTTTTGATATGAAGGGGTAAGTCGTTCCAAAGTTTGATTGCCTGAATGGCGAAAGAATAATGGACGAAACCAGACAAATGTTATATCAAGCAGATCAAAGAGAAAGTTGGAGTCGTGTCGTATCAACAACCAAAGATATTGATGTAAAATCGTGGAAAATGGCAGGATCTCCACCGACAAGAGCGCGGCTCTTAAATTATGAATGAATGTAAATATATCCGCTTTGTTAGAGTTTAAATAACGAATATAATAATATAAATAAAAAAAAATAAAAGGATGCCAGTATCTTGAGTATACTGTCCCCAATGGTCGGCAACGCGCACGTGATATCCCAGGTGCTTCAGGCGTCCATAGGCTATGGTAACCGTTTACCATTAGATGGGCCGTATGCTAGTTTGCCACCATCGTTGTATAAAAAACATGCCTCGTTAGATTACAATGATTGTTTTTTTTTATATATGTAATACATGTAATTGTTTATGACCTATTTCTTATCTGTATATGAATAAATAGGCATTATATATGAAATTTTCCGTTTTAAATATACACTACTATTTAACAATAAAAAAACTAAAAATATATTTTTTTTAACAGGTCTGGTTCCAAAACCGTCGTGCGAAGTGGAAGAAACGCAAGAAGAGTACAAACGTGTTCAGGTCTCCTGGTGCTCTCCTGCCCTCCCATGGTCTCCCTCCATTTGGAGCTGGAGATGTCTGCAGTCCTGGGGTCTTCGCTGACAGACCCTGGTCGATGCCTGCTGGTTAGTATCTTATTATTATTTCTTCTTCTGTCTTCCTCTTCATACTTCAAGAGCAACACGCAAATTTCTTGCTCATTCTTGTTGTGATGAGACAGCTTTCCGAATGAGCGGTAGATTAAAAGAATGATAACTATGACTATTCAAAAGTGCTTAAATTAAGTTAAATTAGAATAATTGATTTATATAATTACGCCGACCCCAAATAAATGGGATAAGGAAGAAGCAGATGATGACAGAATAATTGATTTTCTATTCTATTCTATTCTATTCTGCCTTTATAATAATTATAATTCCTCAGGACGATTAACCCAGCTCTTTCTAGTATCGAGCTTTCCAGAGTTTGTATTACGATCAACAGAAATAATACATAAGTATATATATATACATAATATATATATAGAAAACATAGAATAATCCTCGAATCCTCCTCAATTTACACGACGCCATCACATGCCAAGTTGAACCAAGCTTGTGTAATATGTACTAGACAACTGATATAAATACTTAGTTTACATTGCTTTGTTGTAAATACATACATAATAGAAATAGAAAACACTCATACCGATAACAACAAACAGATTGAATACAAATGTTTGTATCGTGTGGGGAATCAAAGCCGCAACTATTAGATGTAGAGCGGTGTGCTAAACCGTTAGGACATAAAAGTAGCCTAAGTTACTGACAAAAAAAGTTCCGCCAAAATCCGTCCAGCCCTTTCAGAGATTAGCCAGAACAAACAGACAGACAGACAGACAAAAGTTGTAAAAAATGTTATTTTGGTGTATGTCCCGTATCTATATTATATTCATATGCCTGTAGTAAAAAACAGTTATGCCAATATTACAAACAGACACTCCAATTTTATATACATGTATAGATTCCAGTTACATAAAAATAAAATCGTTATAATATAATACGGCTGATATTTGCAGGTCTGGGTCAGCTCTCCCAAGGCGGGGTATCGATGGGGGGTTTTGGTGCGAGCACCCTCCCACAACTTGCTGCGGATCTGAACCCTTCACTTCCCATCAGCTCCGTGGCATCCGGCCAGCCGTACCAATCACATTACCCTCTTAATTCGTTAGGTAAGTAAAATGAGTAATACTCGTGAACGGGTGATGCTTGTAGAATCTGGTCTGCTCTGATGACTGATTTATTTTGTTACTCAAATAACTTACTTAAGTAATTTATTTGCTTGTACTCACATAAAATCTAAAAAATGCAATGCTAGATAGTATTTATTTAAAAGAGCAACGCAAATAATTCTTTGAAATAAACAATAATCATCAAAATCGTCAAGGGTAGAAAATAATTCTGAGGTATATTAAAATATAGAGTCGTTTGAAATCCTTCACCATTTTTTGAAGTCACTTAAAACGTTTGTCCTAGATTAATTATATTTTTAGAATCATCATAAAGGGATTCTAATATATTATATAAATATATCGTGATCATCAAATCACGTCAAATTGAGGTCCATTCAGTGAATTAACAGAAAGAAGAAGCACGTTTCCCCATTATTGTTAATATTAGTATCTATATCTATCTATGTCTATCTTTGTGAGCACTCTAAACTTTTCAGAGGATATAATGAAGTCATTTTGTAACAGATATTGTATTGTACTGTAACGAAGAAATGTAGTTCCACATTTGTAATATTAGTATGGATATCTATATCTATCTATGTCTATCTTTGTAAATACTGTAAACTTTTCAGGGGACACAATGATGTCATACTGCAATAACATAAGTGGGGGTCAGCAGTCGGCCGGACTAGAGGGCTCACCGACACCACCCCACATGGCCCACTGCGCTAACAACAACGCCTCACCAACTGCCTCAGGTATTTATTTAATTATATTCCTTATTATTATAGTTCTTAGAGGTGATTTTATGTCATACAAGCTATCGAATACGTGATGGAAAATATTAATAACTAGTGGTCGCTCAGTGGTCGAAATTTGACCATATTTAATTTAAATTGTAAATTTGAACATTATTAAGGTTCTACTCTCAGAGACTATATTTCTATATCGTGTGTGTGTCAAGTACTTGCTAGTGTGTGTATTAGTATTAGTATGTGGTATGTTTTTTTTATTGATTTAATCTATTTTTTTATCTGTACTCCTTCTTTATTTAATTTAAATTAATATTAATTCATTTCTTTATCTTTTTAATTTCATTCTCTTCTCTATTGAATTTCATACTCTTCCGTCCGCGCAAATATCGTAAAAAGGGGATCAAAGTTTTTGCTTCACTTATTAATATATAGATATTATTATATATATATATATATCTTCTACATAGAAAATAACCAGACTATACACATGAATACAATATATTTGAATCGTGCGAGGAATCAAAATTGCGACGATTCTTGGAAATCAAAACACAGCTTAGAAAGTAACAGATTTATTTATAAATGGGTGAAGAAATTTATTGTCAAAATTTAATGATAATTATTTCGTTTTTTTCACGGACAGTATTAAAAATTAAGCTAATTTAAATGAAACGGTATTTTATATAATTATATTTATTACAATAGAAAATGGCGGAGAACCGGTAGAAGAAGAATTATGTCTTAACGATAACAATTTCATTTTATCCGTTAAAAACGAGTAGTATGATAAATTAAGCTAATTGAAATGAAACTGTATTTTAAATAATTATATTTATTATTTGTTTATTTATTTATTTATTAGAAAACCAACAGCTTGCTACCTAATACATTAAATCAATAGTATATATCTAGATATAGTCAATAAGAGGAGAGAGAGGAGAGGAGAGGTTCTCCGCCATTTCCTATTGTAATAAAAATATTACAATAGGAAATGGCGGAGAACCGATAGTAAAAGAAATATGGTTTAACGATAACAATTTCATTTTATCCGATAAAAACGAGTAGTATGATAAATTAAGCTTATTAAAATGAAACGGTATTGTGTATAATTTAAATAATTATATGTATTACAATAGGAAATGGCGGAGAACCGGTAGAAGAAGAAGTATGGCGCGGCCACAGCATCGCGGCACTGAGGCGACGCGCGTCGGAACTGTCGGCCGCCATTCCGCCATACCTGCAGCTGAACTACGACGCGCACAGTCCAGTCTACTGACCGAATGGCGGTTCAGCATCTCGTCAGTTTGATAGAACCGCTGTCCGCCATTTCAACGAACTATCTACACAGTACCATTAATATATTATAGTCGTAAAATTAGCTGTGTTAAACACCGGTCGTCCAATATTTCCTCTTCAAATATCAGAACTTTCGTTCGTGAATTTGCCAATTTTATTACGGTTCTTCTGTAACTACATTTTTATCTTGACATACAAAGATTTTGAATCGATGGCATCGTATTAATAACTATGTATTTTAAATGATCCAGTATTAGCCATTTTGATGTTGGTAATAGAACTCTATTCCGCCATTGTGGCGAAAATTGTGAGCATATATAACTGGTTTGCAACAAACAATATCGACTAAATACTCTAATTTAAATTTGATCACAAAGGATTTTTTATATCAAATTAAATTTCTAATCAAATATTACGGGACAGTAATATCTTACTCATAGACAAATACTTAAAAATACCTTAATTTTTTTTATCATAAATTAACAGTATTACAAAATCTATTTACAATCAAATACTTATATACCTGTCCTATAATCACATAAAGTGCTCACTCATAAATACGTATTCATATAACGTAATATGGTCCTAATTTTGTGACTCTATGGTGATCTAGTGATAAATATATCACTTCACAGGACCTCTATTGATAGTAAAAATTGAGCTGTATTCAAGAAATTACATGTATACGCATTCGTACAATAAATAAATTTAAATATTAATTAATATAAGATATTTATTCAATAAGCGAATATAAAGGTATTGAATAGTTTTTAATTAGATATTAAACATCGGTGTATTTATGCAAGTTTGTGTAATCGAATAATAGTTTAGGTATTGTTTAAAACATTCCAAAATTGAAATGTAGGATAAATTATTGTTATAACTCTTTGGAGAAGGTTCCATGCATCGTTTTCTTGTTATTTTTTATAAAAAAATAAAATAACAAGAAAGCAACGGATTTCTTTTTTCTAATTTTACTTTTTCTTTTATTGAAAATGTCAAGGAACAATAAATAGTGTTTGCATTTGATTGATTAGATACTAATCAAGCCAAAACTTATTGGGGGAGTGAATGTGATAGCAATACGTATTTCTCTCTCTCTCTCTAACAGAATGATTTTTATCATCCGATATTTTTTTTAATTATGTATTTACATAAAAAAATTGTCACGAATAAACTTGTAAATGATGAAAGAACGAGTTACGAATCTGTTTAAAAATAATATATTACTTGTTAATATTGTTGGATTATGATCAATCTAACAATATTGACAAACGAAAATCCGTACTAAGACACGTGTATGTATGTGTAATTTAATGGCTATACACTCTACATTGTAGATTTATTGAAAACAATAATATGAATTCAATATTTTCTTGTTTACAATAATATATTCAGAATTTTTACGATTTTATTTAATATATTACTATTTTTTTAAATACTTTGTTATTAATAGAGCAGAGCTTAAGAATGACGTTCTTTTGTTAGTTCTAATTTTAAGTTGTTTAGTTTTTTTCTTGATGGAAAATCGTTGCTCTATTAATAAGAAAGTATTTAAAAAATAGTAATAGATCTAAAAAATCCTAAAAATTTTAGTTTACCATTCGGGACGGTTTTAAATTTCTGGAATTGAGTTCTGTAGGCATACTCAATTTTAAATATATTTCTCTAACATTTTTTTTTCTTTTTATAAACTCATTGTATAAAAACAATTATGAATGAGTCAAAGTTTTAAAGTGACGGATTATTATACTTTTTATAGTTATAATAAAGTATCTGACTTTATTAGAACTATAAAAATTAATACAATGTTTACGTGCTTCATTAAATAATTTATTGGGGTTCGTCTCTCATGTCTGAAAAATATTATTAGTCTAGTAAATAATAGCTGTTTTTTAAGTGACAGTGAAATCTAAAAATTAATATCGGATGATAAAAACGTTCACTTTCAAATAATTCATGTGAGTATGTTCCAATGAAAGGTATAATTCGTGTGTGTCTATAAATGTATAGTTAGTTGATATAATTATCGTAAGAAAACAATTTTGTTCTTTATGGAAACTCGCGGCCACTAATTAATTGTCTTTGTTTTTTTTTTAATTAGTTGAAAGTGGTTGATAGTTCCTATTTGCGTTTGTCTCGATTGCAAAGGTATTGTTTTTTTTATAATTATATATTTTGATATATTTATTTTATTAGTCACATTCTTTCCGTCCGTTGTTTTATAAACATGTGTTTTTTTTTTACAAATAATCGTGAGAGCTGTCAAATGCAATATATTTATTTATTACTTACAGTTTGTATAAATATATAATTAATAAATTTTACGACAGATATGCAAGTGAAGTTTTTAAATAATATCTTGTAATAGACCCTTCAGAATGTTCATTCAAAGGAATATCGAAGGTTTTAGATGTCCGTCATGTCAGGTTTGTATTATTTTTATCAGCTTATATCTGAGGATTTAGCCAAGTGGTCAAATTGAGATTATATCTCTAAAACTTGAATGAAAAGCACCAATATTTCGCAATTTTTAATTAATAAATGAAAAGCTTTTGTGTTCCTCTCACAGAAAAAACTATTACATAAATTAATATGATTTCAAATATAAAAATATATAAGTACAATAAGACGCAAAGGTAACAATGGGACGGCCTTATCGCTAAATAGCAATTTTCTTCTTTTTTCTTTATTTTCGATGTATATGCATACTCTGTCCAATTATTTTAAATGAGGAATTCTTGTAAATGTAATTTTACACTTTTGTATTCTTTTGAAGTACATAATTTTTTTATCGAAAGATTCGACAAAAAAAACTGCCAAAAAGATCAATGGCAATGTGATCTATATAGATAGATCTATTGTACTCGCCCTTTCCCAAAATTCGCTACCTAGACCCGTCAGGGACAAGAATTAAAGGATATTCTTAGGAGCGATGGTTTTTATCTCCTCAGGATAGAGTGTAAACTTTCCAAAGGAGATTCGTTTATGTATGAGTGGGCTACAACCATATAGGATATTTTAGCGTTCTTATTGGCTACATAAAGTATTGCTATCATTATAAAACAATATAACATAATACTTTATATAGATGTTAATGCCTAAAGTTGCTTTCTCCCAAATAGCAGCGACACATTCATCACCGGCCAATTCATATGTCACTTGTCTAAAGCTTCAGTTGTTTTGGATAGAGATAAATTTCATACACTGTATCTTAAACAACAATTTCTAATAACACTAGTAGGCTATAATTCCCGGTTGAAAACTTCTATAACGGTTAAGGTAGTTGCATTATGAAGCCTAGTAAATATCAGCGGGTCCGATATAGTTCTACAAACTGTACATTTATATATAATATCAAGAGCCACACTATATTCTAGCTGGGACCGCGTGAAACTCGATATGGCTTTATACCTGCAACGGTATCACTAATCCCCGTTACGTCACAATCATCCCTACCATTCTAATCATCCTAATCATCTCAATCATCCGAACCATCCAAACCTCGTCTCTTTACAAATAGTGTTAATAGCTATTGATGATTGTAATGATTATACTTAATTACTGCTATATGCATTCACATCACATCCATCCTAATTATCCCAACCATCTCAATCATCCCAACCATCCAAACCTCGTCTCTGTACAAATAGTGTTAATAGCTATTGATGATTGTAATGATTATACTTAATTACTGCTATATGCATTCACATCACATCCATCCTAATCATCCCAACCATCCAATCCATACGAAACTACACTATCTTCAAATAGTGTTATTAGTTATTGATGACTGCAATGATTATACTAAATTACTGCTGTTTCAATTCAATTTAACGGTAATAATGATGGACTGAGTGATTATTAGCTTGCTAAAGATCTAATTAAGTGATTAGATACTATTTCGCTCGACCCTAATAATTGTATAGCCTCTATTTAGACATTTTGTTAGTTAGTAAGTATTACTATATACAATAAAATAGACAATGTTCATTTTTGTTGTTTTTTTTTTGGAATGGTACCTAAACGTTATGACTGCTTTACTGATGGTGGACCTCGGTTTTGGAAGATAATAGAATGGTGCCCCCGTCTGCGCTAACGGCTTATGCTGGCAGGGCACCAGTGGAGGATGATATGATGAACAATACCGTCTTTATCATACACACAGGCACAGGGGGCCCGTTTTCTCAGGGGGTCCCCGAAGGACTGACATTTTTTCTCACACTTTTATTCTCAAAAGATTTTTGTCGGGTACACTATACTTTTTTCACAAATCAGTAATGTTATCAGAAGGTATTTACAAGGCATATACTACGCCATTATACCGATTACTTCGCCTATTCCTATGTTCTTATACCTAATGAGCTTTTTTTTTACTTTCCAAAAGGGCCTCAATTCTTGTGTGCCAAAGTTAAGACGGCGGTGAAGATGAATATATCAGGTCGGTCACCGTGACAAATTTCCTAGGAATTTGTCACGATGACCGACCTGACATATTGGTTGACATATTGATGGTTTCAGTCTACATTTCTAACAATCCCATATACCACAGTGTACCACTTTTTATGGATGATAATGGAGTGGTGCTCCCGTTTACGCTAAAGGCTACTTTGGTTATATTATCTTAATTGTCATGATAATTTAATTTTTATACGTTTATTATACATGTACATAATAAATTTAATATTACTGCATTGTGAATTTGTATTTTGTTTTTATGTTCAAGCACCTTCTTTATTTCTACAACTATTGCGGTGAACATAACATAGGTACCGATAACGTGGAAAAATATATTTAAAATCTTCATACAAAATACACTATCACATGATCAATTTAGTATGAACCACAGATGATATAATAATATTACATAGTATGAAGTATAAAGAGACATGGTACTATGAGCAGTGTTTACATTTGAATTTAAAACATACTACTAGCTGACCCCGCAAACTTTGTTTTGCCATATAAATTAAAGGGTGAAAATTTAGGGTTGTACCTATGTGTTTTTTTAAATCACATTACATAAAAATAAAAATTTGTCCATTAAAAATGTTAAGTGTGGACAACACTTATCACATAAAGGTTTGAGAAATATATAGTAGCTGATTCTCAGACCTATTGAATATGCATAAATTTTCATAAAATTGGTCAAGCCCAGGTGATGTTTCGAAGTATGGTAACTAACATTATGCCACGAGAATTTTATATATTTTATTAGATTATGAGTTTGGATGGAGGTTTGTTACTCTTTCACACAAAAACTACTGAACGGATTTTTATGAATCAGTAATATACATCAGTATAACAGCACATTAGTATAAAAGCACAGCTAATAAACTATATTTTTTTAATAATATGACAACAGTGACATCTATTATTTATTACTATAATTAGATTATCACTTTTGCCTGTGCTTAATTGTCTCAAATAGTTTCCGTAATAGTCACTAGATGGCACAATATCGTATTTGCGGAACGAAGTTTCGTAGATAAAGGGTAGTTATACTCCTATTGATTTAACAACTTCCATTCCTTTTTCTAAAGTTCTTAGTATCACGATTTAGTGTAAAAATGTCTATAAAATCTCAGAAATCATTAAATGATGAGTGTTCAGAGATATTTGAAAAGAGTTATTCAGTAAGAAGCGCTTCAGAAGAAAGCCTGTTGTGGTTTGCTCTTTAATATACTTATATTAGAATTCATTAATTAAGATTAATAAATTAATAGGCTACCCTAAATGTTTGTAAAATGTTAATTCAATAAATGTAGGTAAAAATAGTGCTACTGTCTTTTTTTAAATTAGTTCTACCCACATGCATTACTAGGACAACATAACTAAACAGCTAGTCTCACCGAATCATAATAATAATAATAATAATTATTTTTAACAAAACCTAAAAGTATACTCTTTCCAGTAAATAAATATATTTTCAAATGGGTTATTAAATGACGAAGTTATGAAATAACAAACATTAAAAAAATACAGCCGAATTGAGAATCTCCGCCTGCTTTGAAGTCTGTTAAAATGCAATATTTATTTACTAATTAATTGATATTCAATTATGTTATACTAATTATTTAATATCCACTGTTCCAGTGAAGATGACCTTGAAGATTTAGCTCGAGAGCTGATGAAGAAAATGACGCCGGCGGTGCTGAGTAAACTAAGAAGGGTGTTTAGGAAGAACAAAGGCCGGAACCAAGCGAGAGATATAGACAGGTAGTTGGTTAAAAATATCTATATATTAACAGCTTTAACGACCATTCAGTCTGGATTCGTTTTTTGTGTTTATATGTTATATCTAGGTATCAATTTCAGTTGTCTAGTAGCCGTAGCAAATCTGCTTAGCTTGGGACTAGATGGCGGTCTGTCAATTGCGCTGTGATATTATTATATCTTAATAATATTATAAATGCGAAAGTTTGTGAGTATAGATATTTATGATATTTCTTTCACGTAAAAATTACTGAACGGATTTTGATAAAACTTTACAGTAATATAGCTTAGGCATCAGAGTAACATATAGGCTAAATTTTTTATTGAAATTTAACGCGGGTGAAACCGCGGCCGCAGCAACTGCTACAAAAATATAGATAATACACACACATTTAGGAGATATCTCACTAATATTTATACAATTTCCAGAAGGGTGGAGGAGGTAATGAGGGCGGCTGCAGCTGAAGAGGGTATACAGTTCGCTACGTCTGCTCCACAACCTGAAGACACGCTCTGGCTTGACGAAAATTCATTTGTGAATGCTATAGACAATATTTTTGGTGAGTTCTATAAACTAATGGTCGAAATTAAACTATAAATAATTTAAACATAAATTTGAACATTATTAAAGTTTTATTGTCAAATCCTTCTATGCGTGAGTGTATCAAATACATGATAGTGTGTGTAATATTTTTTTAATGATTTACTAATTGTCAGATTGGCCTCTACGCTATCGGAAATCTCTGATATTCCTTATGGAAAACAACAGTGGGATCAGTGCGATCACTAGTTTATTGTACAAAATAAGAATAATAGTTTACAATTTCAATTTCAAGGTATTTATTGTTCGTACAGTCCTTTATAATTTTGACACAGAGTACAAACACGACATTAGCTGCACAGAGAGATCACTTTTTTTTTTTTTTTTATTCCCTTTTATTTGTTTCACCGTTTTTTTTTTTTTAATGTATATATTTTGATTCATAAATCTTAGTGTTGCTAAGCGTATCGTGATATATATTATATTATACCTTATTTACACATATATTATACATACAATATTAAGATATATATATATTAAAATATATAATAGATTTAATACGTATATAGTGTAGTAAGCCCACTGGGCTTACTGACCTGACTTTATATCCATCGTGTCATCCTCAACAGCTGAAATCATTACTACACCCATTAAAAAAATTGTGCTATCAGGTCACCATAAGTACAATACTCATGCACACAAGCTGTTCCAACTCCTGGACTCGTTCAATACCAGCAAGATTTGGTGGAGACAGCTGATCAACCGTCTCGTCGCAGTTGGAGCGAAGAAGACCAGTTCAAGAGCTGAAGTATGGAAACCTGCTAGAGAGAAGGAGATGAGGAGACTGGAGCATTGTAAAGTAAGATATTAAGTGAAATGTAATCATAATAATAACTCCGAACAATTCACACAGAGCCATCTAGTCCCAAGCTTAGCAGAGCCTATATGATGGGTACTAGACAACTGATACAAATACTTCGATACATTTTGTTTGTAAATGCATACATAATATATGTAGATATATAGAAAATACCCAGACCGATACATAATCATACTCACACTCATGAATATGAATATTTCTTTGTTTCTCCAAAAAATTTTAATTATAATATAACAATAGCAACGATAAACTAGATCGAAGATGTGTGTCTTATCAATACAGGCCCCTATTTCAGACGCATTGTAGTCTCTAAAGTAAACTTAAAACAATATAAATATTTATACCATGTGAGGAATCGAACCCGCGACCATCGGAAGTAATGCGGTGTGAGAGCTAACAATGAAGTCAAAACAATATAAGTATAAAGGGGTATCAAAATACTATAAAAATAATAATGCACAAGCTGCCAGCAACAAGTAAGGTTTAGTTAATTCCACCTTTCATTTGACTCGGTTATTATTTATACATATAATTAGTAAAAATCGCGGGATCTTACTTTCATGAATCAAAAACAAAAAACCCGATCAGGAAGTGTATTAAATGTACGTGAAGATACTGTGAGTATACTTTGCCGAGATGAATATCGAGCGAGTTTCAATAGTAGCAACAAACGAAGACGTGTGAAGGTAGACGCATATCTCTCTCTGTCTATAAAAAAAGATTTTATTTACCATCTATTCGCTGCTGTTCAGTTTGCCCGTTATCAGGGCGGAGGAAAAATAAAACGTGGTAAGATTCCGTGACTTTTACTAATTATACGTTTAATTTTACCTTATGTTTATTTTCTTCTAGAGGGAAACCATAGTGAAATTACTGTGTGTGGAAAGAGAGGATTCCTTCTGTTACGTGTCTGTATCGAAGGGAGGTAGAGTCGGGGTCTACAGCGGACATTTGCAGCTCATGAACTCGTATGAGGTCAGTATATTATGTAACTTCGCCATGTTCGCCCACGGCTACCTTTTACCATTCCACCAACCGCCAGTGACCACCATCGACAGGGAAGCCATCTCCACACACTAGAACTTAAGTAGTCTCGGGCAGTGCTGTATCAGAGGAGCTTCCTCCCGCGTACATTGATTGTGAAATGAAGTACCTGCTGAGGATTTCTAGAGAGATTACAGCATGGTTTTTCAATAAGGTTACATTATTTTTTAGGTTTAGAAGGTTTCTTGGGTCGGCAACGCACACCATTCATGGCACTGTTGGTGTTTCAGACGTCCGTAGACTACGGTTAGCGTTTACCATCAGATGAGCTGTACACAAGTATATTATTGCCACAATGGTAGTATAAAAAAATATATCGAGATAGACTTTGAACAAAGTCTACGTGGTCTCTGTACCTCAGTCACCTATTTATTCACCAGCTGGCTTTATAAGCATTATACATTTTGGCCGCTTATAAACGTCAAGTTTTTGTATTAACATTTTTTCCCTACCGTTCCCTACCGTCATAATTTAGTATAGAAATTAGATTGAGAAGAACTGGTAAAAAACGCAGGTGAATTTATTTCAGTTGTAGGATGTTGTGAGGATTAGTCAGTGAATTAACATATTGTATGCTGGTCTGCCAAAGTCGTAATATAAAAAAGAAATATTAACAGAGGTAGACTTTGAACAAATACACAAAATCGATACTTAAATTAGATTTGTTTGTAATTCCAGGTATTTTATCACAGATCAGGTGTGCGGCGAAGAATTAAGAATTGTTGGGTAACTGATGCTATATATTTAAACGTAAGTAATTATGTATTATCAGATCTAATGTAACTTGACGGCCTCAATGGTCTGCAGCTTTAGCACACCGCTTTACTCCGATGGTCGCAGGTTCGATATCTCGTACATGAGTATGATTGTTTGTAGCGCTCTGTGTATTTTCTATGTATATACAAAAAAATGTATCTTAAGTATTTATATCAGTTGTCTAGCACCCACGAAACAAGTTTTCATTAGTTTGGGACTATATGGCGTTGTGTAAATTGTCCAGGGATATTATCATTATTATTAATTTATTACTGGTCCTAGCTGGTCTTTCTAAACTACGGTATCATACTTCTTATCCTGTAATTTCACTGCCCTACCTCACCTTTCCACAGAAACACATTTTAACAATACAAGTTGCTTGGCAGCTGAAATACTTACGCAGATGATTTTTTACTAAGTGTAGGTACACGTAAAAAACTAGCTGATATAACTTTATTGCTCTTACTCTGGACTACACACACTATCCTGGAGGAGAGGAGATAATCGTTCCAAAGAATATCCCTCAATTCTTGGGTCTATGGGTCTAGGTGTAGCTACTTACTTTGAAAAAAGAGCGAGCACAATAGACTTATGTATACAGGTCGCAGTGCTACTGGTTCTCTTTGGCACCGACTAATAGTCCAACTTCTGTATTAATCTGTAGTATCATTGAACTATTAAACATTATTGAAGTAAATCAAAATTTTATGAAGTAGTAGGTACTAACTAGTAGTTATTAATATACTTAAACAAGTTTTAACACCAATAATTTTATGGCAAATAACAGTATTTACCTCTCTCGTCTTTGTGCTTATCCAGGATGTCCAGAATCTGATACTGTCAGCATCTGATCGAAGCCTCACAATATATGATGCAACTACATTAACACACACGCCTATATTCTGCATCACTGGTCTTCCTAATATACCCACGGTAAATAGAAAACTCCTTAAATATGCATAAAATTCTGTTATTTTAATTTATGTTATTACTTGTGTTGTTCACATGAATATTGTAAAAAAAACCGATATTTTAAAAAGATATTAAAAGAAGGTAGTTTGTGTTTAGTATTAATGAAGTACCCAATGTAAAGATTATTACAAATATTGTAAATAGCGCCATCTAATATTTGTAGACCGACCTACTACACTGACTTCGCTCTATAAATACGGAGGTCGGTAGTTGAATAATCCTCTTTCGTTGGGTGAGCCGCGGCATTCAGTCGACGAGCGCAGGGCGTGCCGGTTGTGTTTTGGATACTAAAGTGAATTGTATTAGAAATGGGTTTATCCCGATCTTAGTTGGGTCTGGGGGGAAGCTGCAAGTAGTGAATGTGAGTGTTAATGCATTCTAAAAGGGCCTTTTAAATCTACACCCGTGCCACAAGTCACGGGCGCTACTTGGGGTTTCCCTTGCGGTAGCCGGCTTCAAAGCCGCAAAGCAAAGTCGTCATCATTCATTAGTGCTTCTTACACTTGGAACCTACTATTTGGGAACTACCTACGTTGCTTTTTAGCATAGGGGAAAAACGTGCGGCCCACCTGATGGTAAGTGATTGCCGCCGCCCATGTGCTCGCTAACACCAGTGGAATTGCAAGTCCGTTGACGGCTTTATAAGAAGGAATAAGTTGTTTTCTTGTACTAATGCTGACCATAAATACTGACGAAAGTATAGTTACGATTAAAAATGTCTATTAGCACGCCTGCTACCGGTGTGCGAATTGTCCAGGGTTGTTATTATCATTGTTCTTTACAATTCAGTGTCTGGCGTACACGTCCTCGTCTGCTACGGGAGATGGTTCAGAGCTGGTATTCGGGACGGAGCGCGGAGATCTGACAAGACTCCAATTCCTACAGCCGAGAGTGTCTTTGTTCTACTGTAAAACACCAGAGAACATCAACTACTATTTTTGGATGGTAACTATGAATTATTTACAAATTTCGTACTGTGATTAATAGAAGTTGGGATGACAAAGTTTTTTTGCGGGTCACCTGATGGTAAGTGATTACCGCCGCCCATGAGTACCCGCAACAAAAGGACAATTGCAAGTGTGTTGTCGGTTTTTTAAGAAGTTAAAAGCTGTTTTCTTGAAGGACTCAATATCGTAACTGTTTCTGAAGAAGTTACCTTTACCCTAGTTTACTTTGTATAAAGTGATTTGGATCTGGTGCCTTAGTGTCACCTATTTCTGTCTCCAACCAACTTACTTTGTAAACTTTGTATCGGTTGAAGGATGGATGGCCACTGCCATCCCCACCCCCAATACCCTGCAGTATCACTATACTGCAGGGTATTGGGGGTAGGAGATTATTAGTAATTGAGAATGGCCATTACTAGCAATGGCATACATCTCATTATCAACCTCCATGCGATCTCCTCTGGAGACCATCATGATTAATTCCTGGTGAATTCGTCAATGTGTTGACTTTAACTTCATCCTCATACTGATTATAAACGTCGTCTCTTTTCCTCTCCTTTCGTTACTATCTGTATTTCTTCTTCAGGAGTTACCATCGCACCCTCATACACTCTACTGCAACGTAACAACCTGGCGACATGTCCACTCCCGTTCTGTACGGCGCGTGTCTTACACCAGGAATGGCGACATCATTGTGTCCTGCTCACACGACTCAAGTGTGAGCGTGAGAGCGAGACATGTCCCTGGAAAGCTGGATGATTATACCTTCAAAGTGCAAAGGGTATGCATAGATCTGGAAATTTTTTGGAAATTTTTCTTGTTTTAATATTTATCTTACTAATATTATACAGGCGAATGTTAGTTCTTATGTATGGATAGATGTTCGTTTCTTTCGCGCAAAAATTACTGAACGAATTTTGATGAAACACAGTAATATAGCTTATACATCAGAATAATACATGGGCTATAATATAAAAAGATATTATGTAAAATGGGCAAAATATAATGACGGTAAAATGCGATGCAGACGTTGTTGCCCAGGTTATCTTGTTATGTTCGACATTCGATTCCTCGCTAGGCATAAATATTTATATTCTTGAATGAGATTTTAAGATAAGTACACGCCTATATCTGTGAAATCCAGTAAGTAGCTTCTCTGTTTTTGTTTATTGTGCCTGTCATGTTTTCTAAATGGCCTCGGTGGTCTAGCGCTTTAGCACACCGCTTTACTTCTGATGGTCGCGGGTTCGGGATTCATGAGTATGATTCTTGTCATCGATCTGAGTGTTTTCTATGTACATTTATGTATGTATTTACAATAAAAGTATCCATTGTCTAGTATCCATAACATAAGCTCTGCTTACCGTGGGACCAGATGATACTGTGTTAATTATAGTAAAGTTACATATAAATAAAATTTCATGAAAATCCGTTCCGTAGATTTTTGCGTGAAAGAACAAACATACATCCATACTCACAAACTTTCGCGTTTATAATATTAATAAGATAAACAATCAAATTGTCATACATTTCAGGGTGTGACTTGCTTCCACGTGGTATCATCCTTGCATTTCCTTGTCACCGGGAGTTGTGATGGCGTGGTGCGTTTATGGGAAACTACGCAATCAACACCGTATGCTGCACTGATGACTCCAACAGCTCCTGCTGTGTTGGATGTAGCTGTGGTGGCTTCAGAAGAGATCGTTTTGGCATACTGTAATAATTGTGTAAGTATGGTATGAAATATTTCATTCTGTGGTCATTCAAGTAAGCTATTCTTTGATCGTAATCTGTATTGGTGTGATGAACAGTCAACACTAGGCGTCGAAGCTATATCTGAACTCAATTCAATGCCTAGTGCCTGTGTGATGTGGAATTTGATTACCAATAGTGAAATTTGACTGTTCAAAAGTGCTTATATTAAGTTTATTTGAATAAAGATTATTCATAATTCTATTTCATCCATTAATTCTTCTGTGTTAAGCATTTCGGAAGATCACATGAAAGAAGTGTCTTCCGCGATATCGTTTCCCAATCGAGCATCTTATAATTTTATATCACTTTTACTAATATTGCATAATGTTTATTACATTATGCAATATTAACCTGTGTATAATAGTAACATGATATGATTGGGCTAAATGTATTAACTGCTGATAACCTATAACATTGACGTAGATTGGTGACAATAAACTGAGAGGATTTAGACTAGTTGCACACGTATGATTTTAATCGCGACGTTGGGCTTATCAATAAGATTTTGAGAAAGGTTGATAAGCTAATTTAATATGTTTAATCTTAATACTTACTAACATTAAAAATGCGAAATTAAAGATGTTTGTTGCGCTTTCACGCAAAAATGACTAAACCGATCATCATGAAATTTTGTACACATGTTCTTGGTGGTATAAGAAAGAACATAGGATAGGAGGATTTTAAACAATCAAATATTTTTATAAAATGGTATGGACATATTCTGCGTAAACCTGAAAACCACATTGTGAGAAAGTGCCTTTCCATGGCTACAACAAAAAGAGGACGACGCAGGCCACCAACTACCTGGTTGACAAATGTCCATAGGGACATGACGGAGTTGGGCCTGTCAAATGACGATGCTTACCAGCGAAATGTATGGTGCCCCAGGATTAGAAAAGCCGACCGAAGAAGAAGAAATATTTTTATAAAAATAAAAAAAAAATATCAACATTTTGCTACTTTATCGCCATCTAGCAGCCTGTAATTAAAAAAAGCTATTTACTGGATTGAATGCGACCGAAGCCGCGTCTAAAAACTAGTAATATTATAAACGCGAAAGTTTGTGAGTATGGATGGATGTTTGTAACTCTTCCACGCAAATACTACTGAACGCATTATGATGAAACTTTCGAACTTGATGAAACTTTTCGAATCGACAGGGAATTCATCCTCACACGCTGGAACCTAAGTGATCTAGGACAGTGCGGTTTCAGAGGAGCTTCATCCCGCGTACACTTAGATTGTGGAATGAACTACCTGCCGAGGTTTTCTCACGAGACTACAGCATGGGGTTTATCAAGAAGAGTATATTAAGGTTTCTTAATGGTCGGCAACGCGCCTGATGACCTGAACCCCTGATGTTTCAGACGTCCATAGGCTACGGTACCGTTTACCATCAGATGGGCCGTATGCTTGTTTGCCACCTATGTGGTATAAAAAAAAGGATTAACACATGTTAGTTATAATTTTGCAGTGTAATAAGTAGATTAGTAGTGATATCAAGTTCGTGTTTTTCTATTTCAGACAATTCATATTTGGGACATGTACGAGGAATGTCTGCTACAGTCGATCAAGTTGAAATTCCCCTTTCTGGGCGTACTGGGGAAGAAAATTGAATTTGGTGCATTCTGTATCCATCCCGGTAAGTTCAACTTCAACTATAATTAAATGTAAGACAGTTATTTATCGTTAGTTTTACATTACTATTTTGTTTTGTCAGCGTCTACTCGACCTGAGTTCAGTTGAAAACGTTTTTAGGTTTTAGATATTTATTCTCATTAAGAATTACAAATAGTTAATTAAACTTGAGAATTAAAGATATTATTAAATAAACAAATAATCGCCCGGACAATTAATACAAGTTAGTAAGCAGAGTATGCGTTATGGGTACTGGACTACTGCCATAAATAGTTAGATATAATTTTTTAAATACATACAAAATGTACATAGATATTACCCAGATCGATACAAATAAACATACTCATGAATTCAAATATTTGTACCGTGCGAGGAATCGAACCCGCAACCATCGGAAGTAAAGTGATGCGCCAAACCACTAGACCACCGAGATCGTCAAATGCATGGATGGATGGATGTTTGTTACTCTTTCACATAAAAACTACTAAACGGATTTTGATAAAACTTTACAGTAATATAACTTATTTGCCAGAATAGAACGTAGGCTACAAATTTCATGCGGGTGAAACCGCGGCCACAGCTAGTACATGATAAAATAAGAAAACTATAATTTGTATCAGGCCCAGTACGAAAGAATTTATCAGAGCCTGTTACACCGATCGAGCCTCCATTAGAAGTGATGTCACGAAGAGGTTCGAGCGTGTACCAGGGGTCTACAGGAGGTCTTATGCTTCAGCAAGAATCGCAGGACGATTGGCAAATTAGAGGCCGGGAGCAGGAACGGTAATTAGGATTAATTATAGTTCAGGATCTTATCAGAGCTGAATACTGTTTTTTTAATGATTTTTTTGTCTACTCTAATATTTCTGGTCGCAGTTAGCCTTTACAACTTCAACGAATGACAGGGGACGAGTGGAGATGGTACTCAAAACCAACTCCTGCCCGACGGATACGACTTTAGTCTGCGGCACCGCTAGGGGTTCGAACCTCGGCTCAGATAATATAAAGATATTTCGACGTGTTTTTTTATTTTAACTATTAATAATAAAATTTAATTAACAGGGAATACGCTCGTTTCAATCGACCAGAACTCCTAATCACTTGCTGCGATTATGTTTGTGTACTATCAATTAAGGATAAAGAAGAATTAGGGATCGTACTCCCACCACCTGGTGATACGCTTCGAGCGAGGAGACCTTCAATATGGGAGCTACCTGATGATGTTCTTTCTGGTAAGTTTATAAATAATACTAACCTTGCACAATCCATATAGCGCAAGCCCCAAGCTCAGCAGAGCTTGTGTTATGGGTACTAGACACATAGATACATTTTTTTATAAATACATAAAATTTTTAGGAGTTTGTTTAAGTAATATCTGTAAATTAGTATGTTTCTTTTAGATAAACGATATCATATTTTGTTTTATCTTCGTGAAAGATTGATAGTATATCAAAGATTTGTTATGTCTTGTCCATCCGTTTACACGTGTTACGTTAACAAACTGACGTACATTTTCGCATTTCTAAGTTAGTATATATACCTACATAATGAATGCAAAAATATGTTTTGATTCTTTTTTTTCTATATTTGGTTTTAAAAGTGAATCTCTATTTTTGTAAGCATGTACAAACTCATTTGAAAAGAATAAGAGCTTAGTTTCTTATCAGTTTTTCTTATTTTGAAAGCACTTCGAATTGATAAATCATATGTCTGTAACAGGCCTATATGAATAAAGATATTTTGAATTGATTTATTTGTTTAGTGATTCCGTAAATCTCAATCTATTATATTCTAATGTCTCGGTGTTTAATTTTTCTTTTCGTTTCAGCACCAGTAGCTACAAGACTCTCTCCCAGATCACCACCAACGTTGTCCCCACGTTTCCTAGCACCGTCCACAGCTGAATATCCTTCACAAGACTTGGAAACGTTATTGGAAAATGCAGGTAAGTTTGACGTTTTTGTATTTATTCAAAAAATTAAAAAAATGAACATTAACTTGTAATTTTTTTTTAATATTATGGACAAAATAAAACTGTTGTATTAATAATTTTTCAGACTACTAGGGCTATATTGTAAATACCTTTTAGACTAACATACATATGAATTAATATCATAACAGTAATATATTGGAATTGACTGTACGCTCAAGGCACTTATGATGGCAATCTAATTTATGAAGTGGCATTAAAAATGTATACACTATGTATTCACCCTTGTACCACCAACCCCTATTATTTTATAGGGATATTTGTAATTTAATTTATATTTTATATTTTTTTTAATTATATTTTAATTTATATATTAACATGTTTGTAGGTCTCCAGGACATATTGGAGAAGGATTTTGTATTGATGCAAGGATTGAAGCATGATCTGAACAGAAAATTAGCTGAAATGGAATCCAATATGCACTCGGTAAGTAAAATTGACGGCCTCGGTGGTCTAGCGGTTTAGCGCCTTTCAATTGTCGCGGGTTCATTTCCTCGCACGATACAAACATTTGTATTCATGAGAATGATTGTTTGTATCGGTCTGCGTGTTCTATGTATGTTACGTATTTATTCACAAAGAATATGTACTTAAATATTTCTAGTATTTATTAGTTATCTATTACCCATAATACAAGTCCTACTTAGCTAGGGCCTAGATTACGCTGTATGTATTCTCCAGTAATTTTTTAACCATCATTATAAATGGTAACCATCGCCTATACATATACATGAACAGCACTATGGTCATCACGTTATCATGTGACATCCGTGATACTCAGAAATAAAATGTCACGCTTCTTATCCTGTAATATCACAGCCTCCTATTCCATCTGCACCCTACAATCTAAACAGCTTAGCGGTTGAAATAGGTGTGTGAGGTAGATACACATGCTGACGAGTTTTTATAGTCCAGCTATGGTTCTTATAAAATGCTAATATAATGGTAATCCAACTATATCTCAAATATATACATACATATAGTGGGAGCAAATAATAGTTTTGATATCTGCAAGCTTCCATTTACATCTCCGTCCCTATTCTATTCTTTTTCGTTCTATTTTCTTCTTTTTTTCTCCTAATTACGTTCTCTCTTTCTTACACACATGTTTCCCTTTTACACAACGTTCCACTCCATGCATCAACCTATCTAATCCCATATTACCTTCTCATTCAAAGTCGATAATTATAATACCAATGTAAGTATTAATAATATATATTTATTAAATAGATGACAAGTGCAGTTAGTGTGGGCGCTCCGTATTTAGCTTTGAGAACATACGACCCCGACCCCATGGAGGCTGTCGATGAAATGACGGACACATACAAAAGAGTTATGAAGTAAGTCATTTATACAATAGAAAAAAAATATATATAAAATTCTTTATTCAAATTAACTTCAATTTAACACGTTGAAGATCTCTTTGAAAAATTTTATTTCTCACATAAGGACCGGAATTTTTTTAAATTGTTAACTAGCTGTACACGCTACTCAACCGCGTGGAATTTAACTTTATTTTTCTAAAATAAAGATAGACTAAGTTACTCCTTATTACATCAGTTACCTGCTAATAAAAGTCCCGTCTAAATCGGTCCAGACATTACAGAGATTAGCCGGAACAAACGGAGAGACAGACTGACAAAAATTATAAAAAAAATACTTTGGTTTAAGTACCGTATATATATTCATATGCATGTAATAAAAACGGTTATTTCAATATTACAAACAGACACTACAATTTTATTTATATGTATAGATGTATAGATGACAATAGTGAGCAAGTTAGTTCTGACTCTGGACAATTCACACAACGTCATCTAGTCCCAAGGTAAGCAGAGATGTCATATATATATGTAGTACAAAACATCTGGTAGAAATACTTGATAATTTTTTTATAGACACCTTTATTTTAGAAAAATAAAGTTAAATTCCACGCAGACGAAGTCGCGTGTACAGCTAGTCCTACCTAAAACTACCTAAAGCTCCTAAATGAAGAAAAAATTAAGGTTTAATTTTAATATTCATTCCAGGTTATTTCCTCCATCAAGTGTGGGAGGTACACCGACGGGAAGTGAATGCACGACCCCTAGGACTAGAGCGTCTCGTTTATGAGATAGTGAGTAATGTCAGGCTTTATAGTTACGTTAAAAAACAGAAACGAAATGAAGGATATTCTTAGGAGCGATAGTTTTTATCTCCTCAGGATAGAGTGTAAACTTTCCAAAGGAGATATTTCGTTTATGCATGAGTGGGCTACAACCACATAGGATATGTAGTGGCGTTTCCTCTTCAGCTTGGAAAAACCTACAGATTTTTTTTTGTAGGTCATTTTGTAAATATTATTTAATGTTTAATATTTATATTTCATTCATTCTACTTCATCATAATATTATGAACACTGTACTAATAATAATTTATTCATATCGCAATACAAAAATATGACAAGAGATAAATTAAAACTTTGTTTATAAACAAAAATTGTTATAATCATGAATGACGAAGCGAAAGTGAATTAAACAATTGCCTACTTCTGAGAATACCGATGTCTACTCTTTAGGATATCTGTACACGATAATTTTTTATGTATATATCTTTTTAAAAAGCTTATTATAAAATTGAAGAATTTATAAATGATAACAATGTTTTTGTAGAAAATATCTAACTTAAAATTCATAGCGCTGACAATGTTATCTGATTGAACAGAGATTAAGTGCGTAGCGGTTTCTATGTTGATTGTCGCATGCCCAATCCTTGTTGTTAATAAATCAATATTTATTTAAAAGAGCAACACACAAGTTTCTTGCTTATTCTTCTTGTGATGAATCTGCATTCCGAATAAGCGGTAGAATCAAAAACTTGACTATTCAAAAGTGCTTATATTAAGTTTATTTTTGAAAAATAAGATTATTTCTATTTCTATTTCTATTAACACATGCTTTTTTCTATCTCTCCTATACAGTTCGGCTAACTACCTCACTGCTAAGTACTGGCTAGAAATTCAACTAAGTTTAACTTAACTTCAACTAGTTTTAACAACTATTTTAGAATCACAAAATACTGGCAACATAAATTCGTCTCAAAGTTAAAAAAAATAGTCTCTTTTTTTAACTTTGAGACGAATTTGTCATTATCTATGTTGCCAGTATTTTGTGATTCTAAAATAGTGTTGTGGCACTATCCAAACAAGATGAATTATTGTTTTTTATAGCTTACTTAGAAATTATGTGTAGGTCTTTATTTAAAACGGTTTAATTGAATATTAAAAAGTATAATTAATAAATTTAGGGCTGTTGTATCAAAAAAGATTTTTGTATAGACATATTTAACTGAAACAAGGACTACCTTTTTAGTCATATGTCCTTATAAACCGCGACCCAGAACTCACGGCCGATAACTTTTAAAATTATGAAGATAGTTTTATTAGGAATGGCCTAATGAAGCCAGCTGCGGTTCCAAGGATGGATGCAGGAACAGTAACCTCAAACTTTTCAAATTAATTATTGTATATTAATTATTATTATAAATATACCTTAGAATAGATCTGGTACTAATAAATTGACTTGCAATAAAATATAATAATTATAGTGTATCTAAAATTGACAATTGTTTGTCTGTTGCATGTCAGAAATGGCAAAGTGTATAAAACAAATAGCAATGATTTAAAACCTACATACAATTTATCACCATATTTTAAGCAATAAATATTCATTTAATAAAATGTTTTGGCTCGCGGACTATTAACATTTATTAAATGAGTTTTTTAAATTAATCAGAATAAACATAAAATAAATTCCATAGACTATTTTTTTTCTTATAAATGACGGTAAGCATAGTATTGGTATTGCTAGTATTGCTATGACCGATCTGCCTACCCACTATTATACGCATATTCATTATTACATACATTTACTTATATCAAAATCATATATTTATTATGCGTTTTCGTCATAAAGTTCGATTTTTATAGTTTTTTTATTAACAATGTAAATAAACGTTTATATATTTATATGTATTACTACAACGTTTTATATATTTAGTGACGCCTGTGACTTGTGAAGTGATAAAAACTTACAATGAAGTATTATAAAATGGATTTTCAAAATACTTTAGTGACAATACAAATTTGTATATTACTTATATATTATAGAATTCTTCTTGCATTAGGCATTTACGCATTGTGTTTAAGTGAAGTAATAATAAACAAATTCTAATACATTAGGATATACATATAAGTATAAGTTACTGATCATAAACAGTAGATTGAGAGGAATAACAAACAAGTAAGACAAAAGTCTTAAAACTAAAAATAACATGTCGTAACCTACATTAAATAATGTATGTAGAATTTCGTTTTTTGTAACAATAAAGGAAGTAGGTATGACATAAACAAAATAAAGAATCATGATTTCATTTATTTATCAGTTTCCGAAAACTACAGTTATTAATAAAAAAATTTATAACAAACAATGTACGTATTTGATCAGAAAATTAAATCAATGAGATTTGTATTTATACTAGACTAGCTATCCGCCCCGTCTCCGCATGGGCATACATGTATTATGTAAATAAACCTTCCTCTTGAATCACAATATCTGTTCGTAAAAACTACATTAAAATTCGTTGCGTAGTTTAAAAGATCTAAGCGAACAAACAGCGGAAGCGAATTCATTTTATAATATACTAGCTGACAACACTTATCATTATATACCGTCCAATTTACACGATATCTTTTTAAATTATGGCCTATGTGTTATTCTGATGTATAAGCTATGTTACTGTAAAGTTTTATCAAAATCCGTTCAGTAGTCTTTATGTGAAAGAGAAACAAATATTCACCCATACTCGCAAATATATTAATAAGATAAAGATTTCATTGTTTCGTATGCCGATGGCCCGTTAATTATATCAACTTGGACGTCATATAATAGCTTGAATCCAAACCAATCTTGTTAGTTATTCACTAAAAACATATACTCGTAGTTTGACATAAAAATTACTGTGTTATTGTAAAAGCAAATCGTTAATATTTTTTTAATACATTTAAAATTTAAAATATTCTTGAATGTTTATACTAATATTAAAAATTAAAGAAGTATATAATAGATACTGTGTACCTAAGTGTAAAAGCGAATCGTAAAAGCATCAATGTTTTTTTAATAGATACAAAATTATAGAAAATTATTCTAAATTTAAAAATTAAAGATAAAATATAAATAAAAAATGAATAAAGAATTTGTGAGGCGTTTGCTGGATATGCGTCCAAAGTTCTGCATAGCCAGAAATAATTCCACAAAAACACCAGACGAGTTCCTCAAGTTCTACAGTGAAGAGAACAGTGTAAATATTAAGTATAGACCTTTGACTGAACAAGATTACATGAGGTTTATTAGTAAAAGATCGTCTCTTAGGGAGCCAGCTTTGACGAGGGTGATCAGTGAGTATTTTGTATTCTTTTATTGAATAGTAACTGAACCGGCAAACGTTGTTTTACCATCTAATTGACACAATCTTGTCGGCCTCGGTGGTCTAGCGGTTTACCACGCCGCTTTTCTTCCGATGGTCGAGGGTTCGATTCCTCGCACGGTACAAACATTTTTTATTCATGAGTATAATTGTTTGTACTGGTTTGGGTATTTTCTATGTATATTACGTATGTATTTACAAAAAAAACAATGTATTAATACCAGTTGTCTAGTACCTATGATACAAGCTCTGTTTAGCTTGGGACTAGATGGCGCTGTGGGAATTGTCCTGGGTTATTATTATTATTATTATTAATTAACATCACTATTAAAATATAGGGTTTGATGGTAAAAGGGTAAAAAGTCAGGGTTGTATGTATTTTTTAATGCCGAGTTAAAAAATAATATAAAGTTTTTGCAGTGCAGCACCCTTATCGCTTAGGGGTATGAAAAATGTTTATGTCCCATTCTCAGACCTACCGTGACTGTTGGAGATAACAATGCAGAGAATTTCGACAAAACTTGTTGTTTATTTTATTAATTTAACTTCAATGCACATAATATATAACCTATTTGGCGGTCATAACACCATACGCCATTTTCTACCCATCAATATAATTACATATTATAAAACAAAGTCGCTGTCGCTATCTGTCCGTCTCTATGTACGCTAAAATCTTTAAAATTACGCAACGCATTTTGAAGCGGTTTTTTTTAATAGATAGATTCGAGAGAAAGGTTTATATATATAATACATGTACACCCGGGCGAAGCCGGGGCGAGTAGCTCTGGCAATAATTGTGAAAGTAGGCGAGACAAAAATTGTCGGTTTTGTGACTTTAATTGTTTTTATTTATTGTACTGCAATGTACATATGGCGGACATACAACACGATGCGGCACGACGATTTCCTACCAGGCAACCATAGGTGGTGCAGAGATTAATTGTGGGTGCTGCAAATATAATAAAGAAAATTCAACAAAATATAAACAGCACGTAAAATGTAAGGCCTATAAATATACAGTGTAGAACAGAAAAATGTAACAAAAAGAGAATTGAGAGAAGTGATAAAGTAACAAACAACAGTGTTTACTCGAAAAATGAAAGTTCTGCACAACAATGATGATTTTAGAATTCTCACGAAAAATAATAGATGCATAAATAATAATTAGTGTTAATGACTTATGAGATATTTGAGTTTTTAATTCCCCTGATAAGTGTTATCAGGGCTACAGGTCATTATATTGAGTATTGTTAAATACGGTTCATATTAAACATACCGTTACGTGATGCAATAACTGGTTCTTTTTCGGTAAAATCCGGTTTACCGATTGTATAAATATTGGACTACATTTTTTTAATATCCATAATTTCAGGAAAATACATACATAGCCATCTAGACCCAGGTTAAGCTTGCTAAAGTTTGTGTTATGGGTACTAAATATAGGTAGATTACCGGTACAAATACATAGATATATTTTTTTTCGTACATACATACATATTATATATAGAAAACATCCAGACCAATACAAAGAATCATCATCAGACTCATGAATACAATTTTTTTTTGCCGTGCGTGGAAACGAACCCACTACCATCGGAAGAAAAGCGGTGTGCTTAACCACTAGATCATTGAGGCCGTAATAGCAAAATACTTGTTAAGGTCGTTGACATAAATTGAATGATAATGACCTTTTAATAGTATTACGCGTTTTTATCGTAATTGTTTAGGAATTTGAATAGTTCCTGATAACAGTTTCTTTAGATTATTTATTTAAACACACTTGAATATTTGCGCTTAAAAATGTATGAAACAAAATTTACGTTTGCTTGAGGTATAGTAAAAATATTTCTTTAAATTATAAACTAAAAGTAGCCTAAGTATAGTCCTATAACATTAGCTGTCTGCGAGTGAAAGTCCCATCAAAATCGGTTCAGCCGTGTCAGAGATTATCAAGAACAAACAGAGAGAGATAGACAAAGTTTTTTTAAATATTATATTGATGTAAGTACCGTAGGCTTATACTTTCATATGCATTCTAATATTTTTTTTAATTATGTATAAAAATACATTAAATCAATAAAAAAATTAATCTTAATTACAGTCGAAATTCAAGTATTGAGCGACCACTAGTTATAAAAATACACTAGCTTTTGCCCGCGGCTTCGCTCGCGTAAATTTGTCCCTTCAGGGGGAGTTTATGAATTTATCCAAATCCTTTCTTAGGGGATGCCTACGTCATAGTAGCTTTAAGCATGCAAAGTTTCAGCCCGATCGGTTTAAAATTGACAAAGTTTCATACAAACTTTCATATATTATTTTTATTTATCTTATTATCCCCTTGGGGGTAGAATTAATCAAAATCCTTTCTTAGCGGATGCCTACGTGATAACATCTACCTGCATACCAAATTTCAGCCCGATCCGCCCAGTGGTTTGCGCTGTGCGTTGATAGATCACTAAGGCAGTCACCTTTGAGTTATATATAAAATAATATATAGATTAATATTCATACATACATAAATACATATTATACATAGAAAATACCCAGACCGATACAAACAATCATACTCATGAATACAAATGTTTGTGCCGTGCGAGGAATCGAACCCGCGACCATCGGAAGTAAGGCGGTATGCTAGACTGCTAGACTCTAACTAATAATATAATATAACTATGTTGATTTTCTTCAGCATCATTGGCATACAAAATGGGCAAGCAAATGATTTCTCTAGCTGAAGGTATGCCCAACGAGGACGTATTCCCTTACACCAGGCTTCAACTGGACACCAGGGATGGGAAGGGGTTGGTTATAGAGGGGCAGGAAATGGCTACCGCGTTACAATATGTACCATCACAAGGGTAAGTACACATTGCTGTACTTTATGTTGGTAAATAAATAAAACATACAGACGAGAATAGGGACTTTGCTTTACGCTATTAACATATTGTTAGGAATGACCTTTAAATTTAATTAAATAAAAGAAACTTATAATAAATCATATCATTAATTTTAACAAAATCAGTACAAGGTAGAACTAAAACTATATATGTAAAGCGAAACACGATATGATACGGAGATTCGTTCGAGAGCACGTCTGTCGACCAAAAGAGGCTACAAGCTTTTTTTTTTCGGACTACTCTAATGCTGTTGGCCGCAGCTGGCCTTTACAGCATCACCGGACGATAGGGGGTGAGTGCAGGTGGCGCTCCAAACCCGCGGAAGGACTTATGGAGCAGCTGAAGCTCGACCCTTAAGAAGCTCCGACTCCCGCCCGATGGAGACGACTTTAGTCTGAGGGCACCGCTAGGGGTTTGAACCTCGGCTCAGGCCGTCGTAACATTGAAATGTTGATGATGATGAGATCATATAATATATATAATATAATTGATTGGACTATTGTCTGATTGATTTATTCGTTAAGGATCACATTATTGAATAATGGCATTAAAAGAAGCAGTTATAATAGTAATAATCTCAGGACAATTCACACAGCGCCATCTAGACCCAATAAGCTAGCTAATGTTTGTGTTATGGGTACTAGACACCTTCTTCTTTCGTTTCAATGGCAGCTAAATACATATATTTTTTTCTTCGAGGGCTTCTCACAGTGTAAATCTATCCTATTGGCGGATCTCTGCCAAAAATCGCAGTGTGATGTGCTTTGCCTACAAGAAACCTATAGGGACTAGGTAACTGATACAAATACATACTTTTTTTCCGCAAATGCTCCTTCATAATATACATAGAAAACACCCAGACCGATACAAACAATCATACACATGAATATAAATGTTTGTGCCGTGCGAGGAATCGAATCCACGACCATCGAAAGTAAGACGGTGTGTTAAACCGCTAGACCATGTCGGTCATAATAGTAGCACAATTCTTTTCTTTCAGTCTTCCAGCACTTTTGACAGAGCTCCGTAAATTCCAACACGATCTGCACCGTCCGCCGTCCATATCACGTGATGTGTTGGTCACCAATGGTAGTCAGCAAGGGATCTACCAATGTGTTGAGCTCCTGGTGGAACCAGGGGACCCAGTGATGATGAGCGAATATTGCTATACTGGAATACACATTGCTGTAAGTAACATGTTGTTTGTGTTTGTCTGACTTTTGAATGTGTGTTTTTTTATATATATTTTTAATGAATGTAAATCGAATGGTGCACCCACCTGCAACTGTTTGCGCCGGCGGCACTAGTGGAGGATGATAGGATGACTTTTAATCCTTAATAATATTATTATTATAAATGTGAAAGGTGTGTTTGTTACGCTGTCACGCAAAAACTACTAAACCGATCATCATGAAACTTTGTACACAAATTCTTGGAGGTATTGGAATAAACATAGGATACTTTTTATTAAAAAAATAGAAATATTTTTTATTTAATGCGAGCAAAGCCACGGGTAAAAGCTATTAATATTATAAATGCGAATGTTTGTAAGTATTAATGTTTGTTACTCTTTCACGCAAAAATGCTGAACTTATTGAAATTTACCGCGGGTGAAACCGCGGGCACATCTAGTACATAAAAAAGGGGAAGGGAATTATTAGTAATGTGGTATAATGGCCTCATTGCCTGCAATGTACCATGTCAGGTAGACCTCCACGCGGTTCCTCCTGGAATCCATCGTGATAACTGTAACGTATTATTTCATTATAAGGTTCATAAAAAAATGAACGAGAGAGATACCTACGCAGACGATTTGTTCATTCTCGGCTTTCTATTTAAAATATATTTTCAGTTAAAACCATACAAACCAGAAATCGTTAGCATCCCAGAAGATCACGACGGTCTGATCCCAGAAACTCTAGAGTCCATGCTAGAAGATAGACTCAGTCGAGGCCTGAAAATGCCTAAATTGCTGTACCTGATACCAACTGGCAGCAATCCCACGGGCACTGTCATACCGGAAGAAAGAAGAAATAAGATATATGAACTCGCTTGCAGATTTGACTTTCTAATTCTCGAGGACGACCCGTATATGTTCCTCAACTATGATGAGGTATAAATATTCTGTAATTTTTTTTTTATTAAATTGGAATCGCATATATGTAAACGATGATGGTTAGTGGTAACCGTCGCTTATGTACATGAACAGCGTTATGTAACATATATGATAACACAATAATAATAATGTTTTTGGTGGACCTGGTTCGACCTGGCTCACGAGGTGACCGAAATGTGGGGGGTGATGTCCACCGAAATCATTCCAATCGTTATGTCGGTGAACGGTCTTATCCCAACCAGTCTGGAATAACATCTCGGACGGTTGGGATTCCGAGGCGGCTCACTCCCGGGAAAGATGCAGAAAGCGGTGCTCTTAGATTCTGCACGCATTTTACGCTGGTTTCTCTCCTTGGGGCCCTGAACCCCGGCCGACTGTATTTCTGCCGGGGAGTAAGTTGCCATGTGCTCTCCTTAAGAGGGCAGATGAAATTTTTTTTTAAGTTTAAAAAATTATATTAGAAAATTTTTGGAAATCGATGATAAGGACATAATACACACAATAATTAAACACACACTGACTTACTTGGTTTCGGCCCGTAAGTGTGGTAAAAAACCAGCAAAAGCTGAGAAAATGCGGCTAGAGAAAAAATAATAATAACAATAATCTCAGGACAATTCACACAGCGCAATCAAGTCCCAAGTTAAGCTAGCTAAAGCTTCTAGCTATAAAAATTACGATATTACCAAAACAATATTGCATCTCCCCTTTCAACCCTTTACAACCCTATTTATGCATTAAAAAGTAACCTTTTCGGCGTCCTTTCTCGGGGTCTAAACTATATGTGTACCAAATTTAATTTAAATCGGTTCTGTATTTTGGCTTGAAAACACGACAGACAGACAGATAGACAATGTTACGTATTTATAATATTAGTAAGTTTAATACATGATTTTCTATTCTAATCGAATAACTCTTCGTTTTCAGGTCCACGTACCTTCATTTCTGTCCCTCGACAGTTGTGGCCGCGTGATCAGATTGGATTCCTTCTCCAAAGTCATCAGCGCTGGGTTACGAGCCGCGTGGGTGACAGCTCCGACCGCTTTACTTCAGCGGCTGGAATTTCATATGCAGGCGCAGATGTTGCATAGCTGTTCTCTTTCTCAGGTAAGCTCTTTTTTGACGGCCTCTGTGGTGTAGCGGTTTAGCACACCGCTTTAATTTCGATGGTCGCGGATATAATTCTCGTACGGTATAAATATTTGTATGTATGAGTATGATTGTTTGTATTAGTCTTGGTGTTTTCTATGTATAATATGTATGTACGTATTTACAAAAAAATGTATTTAAGTATATATATTAGATGTCTAGTACCCATATCAAAAGCTCTTCTTACCTTAGGACTAGATGTCGCTGTGTGAATTGTCTTGGGTTATTATCATTATTATCGTTAGGTATATTGATTAGTCCATTTCTTTATCAGACGTCGACGATGTATATAACATGGTGAGAGAGATGTTACGTGTATAACATGATGTATCCTAGAAATCTGTAAATTCGTCCGTAAATACCCTATCATTATCGTCATTATTAATCATTGTCATCATCATTATTAATTATTATCATCATCATTGTTAATCATTATTATCATTATGTTAATTTGTCCGTTTCTTTACCAGACGATCCTAGCACGCCTGCTATCTGACCGTGGATCCCTCGCGTCCCACTTGCGTTCTGCTCGCGCGTTGTATCGCCGGCGGAGAGACGCCATGTTGTCCGGTCTACATACACACTTGCCACCCGTCGCCGCTTGGCATACACCTCGAGCTGGTCTCTTCGTGTGGCTGCGGCCGTATGGTCTCGACGATGTATATAATATGGTGAGAGAGACGTTTTGTATATAACATAGTGAGAGAGTAGAGAGATGTTATGTATAACGTGGTGAGAAAGATGTTTTCTTAAACTCTGGCCGTGCCTCCTGTGCCTTTATATTACTTCCATTATGAGCATGGCACATTAACACTTTTTTGTGCATCATTTCTATAGTTTTAGTGTGTTTAATTGCATTTTGGTATAAACTGGCGAATTGGACCCGAAGTCATGTGATTACGGTTTTTTTAATCAAAGTAGACTGTAAAAAGTTAAAAGGTTCGGCGTGGGTATTTCAGTCTCACTTATTCCAGCTGCCAAGCGGGTTGTTTTGTAAGCTTTGCTTCGGTTGTACGGTGCAGATTAGGCAGTGAAATTACGGTTAAGAGGCATGACATCTTAATTCTCTTGAATGACAATGAGTGGTATCAAAGACGTCACATGATATGCGATGTTGTGCCCGAGCTTACACTCGTATGAAATTTATAGCCTATGTGCTATTCTGATGTATAAGCAATATTACTGTAAAGTCTCATTAAAATCCTTAGAGTAGTTTTTCCGTGAAAGAGTTAGACGAGAAGAAGAAGAAAGAAGAGAAGAAGAGAAAGACTACGTTTGGTAGTCACAAACTTTCGCGTTTATAGGTAATATTAGTAAGATAGAATACCTAGAATTATCTATTTGTTAATAAAATACCTATATGTTTATTACGAATTGAAAGTTATAAATTATTATTTTATTCAGGTATTTCAGACGGCATTCGACCGTGGCCTTATGTTGGTGCCCGGGCAAGCGTTTCAATACGACACCAGCGCCCCCTGTCAATTCATACGGTTGACATTCGGTAAAATACCACTTGAAGACATAGATACGGCATCGCGACATCTAGCGGACATAATTAGAATCGAACAACAAAAAATGTTACTCAAAGAACCGCAGAGGTTGGCCACTGAACGCTAGATGGCGCTGTTATATTTAAGTAGTTTTTAAATAAAAATATATTATGGAACAATTTTAAACCCATTTTATGTTATTTATCTTATAAATGTTATTTTATTACACGAGTGCTTCATGTCAAATCATACAATTGACATTCGCTAAAATTGCACTCGAAGATAGACACGGTATCGTGACATCTAGCGGACAGAATTCGAATGGAAAAACAAAAAATGTTGTTCCCAGAATCGCAGAGATTTGATCACTGAACGTGAGATGGCAGTGTTACATTAAGGCAATTTTAAATATATTTTAAAAATATTTTTAGGACAATTCTTTATACATTTTTTTATTATTATTATTTAAGATATAAATGTAATTTTAATAATAATTAAAGATTAGAACGCTAGTTGATTTGAAATTTCTAAAATTATAATACATTCTTGTGTGTCAAATAAAATTATATGTTCAATTAATGTTTTATTAATTTTTACTTATATTATACATATACTCTTTTTATCTGTATAAAATGAAGTGGAAATGTGTGGAAGTAGGCTCAATACTTTTGTCATAACTAACCAATAGGCAGCGATATTTACTATTTAATTTGTCAGTTAATATCTACTCAACGGTAGATGTCACCACGGTACTTTTTTTGTTGTTAATGTATGGAATATTATATATATATGATATTACAACTATTTTGTAATGTTATTTAAACATTTTTATATAGAAAAGGTTTTTAAAAGATGGGATGAAGATGCAGTGGGGTCAGTCATACTGTCGTGACAAACTCATCAGGAAATAATCAAGATAGTTTCTAGGGGTAACCGGGCAGATAAATTTATCATGGAGTACATTACTAGCAATAGGACTAACTAGTTCCCATTAACAATTAACACATCCACTACGCGGATTTATCAATAGCTTTTTTTTAAATATGTAGGTAATGTATTATTGAGCATGATGGGATATTCCATATATACTTTTGTTGTTACTTCAGTTTTTTTAGACAATGTTCCGCTAAATGTAATACTTGGTTTCTCGATTTGATTTCCATACGAAGACAGTTTCCGAATACTGTGGTGATTATTTACTTTGCTTTACTTTCGCCTTGATGGGCTAACTGACTGAACTGATTTCACACGCATAAAAAATAATAATAAAATCTTCTTATATGTCATTATTTTTTATGCGTGAACACACTTAAATTTGTAAAAACGCGCTAATAATAATCGATTATTATATTTATCACCATCATCATCATAATATTATCAGTAACTATTATTATTAATATTGAATGGACTGTGTGAAAGATGATATGGTAAGAAAGGAAGTAAATAACGCGATGACTGCGAACAGGGATGAATGGAAGAGAAAAACATATTACGACGACCACAAATAAATGGGATAAGGAAGAAGGAGATGATGATGATGATATTATTATTATTATTTTTACTTAAAACAAATTCTCATCTCCCCTCTTAAGGAGAGGAGATGGCAACTTACCCCCGACAGAGGCTACCAATTGGTTAGTCATGACAAAAGTATTGAGCCTACTTCCACACATTATTATTATTATTATAACTGCCCTTATTTCGCTTCCTCAATGGTGTAACGATTTAGCACACCGTCTTACATTCGATGGTCTCAGGCTCCATTCCTCGTACGATACAAACCATTGTATTCATGATTGTTTGCATCGGTCTATATATATTTTCTGTGTATATAGTGTATATATTTACAAAAAAAATGTAACTATGACATGAACATCATCAAACTCTGCTCACCATGGGACGAGATGACGCTGTGTAAATTGCCCAGGGTTAATATTATAGTCACGAGGATACATAGACTATGTTTTATGTCAAGAAATGCAGCCAAAGACGGGTGTAGTAATAGCTAGTATTTTAATAAAACATACGGTCAAAATATAGACAAGTACAGGCAACACAATAACATAGAGTATGTTTATGTCAAAAAATGCAGAAAGAGACGCGTGTAATAAATAGGTAGTATTTTAATAAAACATACTGTGAGAATGGCAAGTACAGGCAACACAATTTTGATCGTGTACCCATGTAGTAGATACTCTTATTTGGTGCGTTCATTGGAAGTAGTTAGCATTCGACGTTTGATTCCTCTTCAGTTGTTAATACAGAGTAATAAACACTCAGATATTTTTATGTTAAAAACACATATACAAATATAAATAACCTTTATTCGAATAAACTCAATACAAGCAGTTTTGAATAGTCATATTTTTTAATGTACCGCTCATTCGGAACACAGATTCAGCAAAGCAAGCAAGAAATTTCGAATAGATAGTATTTTTTTATATTTACATGTTTTTCTTTGTTTTGTTCTGATATCTTCCAACATATAATATACCTATGTAGGTATATTATATGTTGTTTATACTTTGTGGCGTATACCATACTTACAGGCCAAAACCAAATAAGTTCAGTAATTAATAAAATTCAAGAATGATATATAATCAGTCTTTAATACTTAAAAGTATAAAAAAAACTCTACAATTCGAGCAGGCATTGTAAAAATGGCGCGCGAATTTTTAAAATACATAATCTTATCAGGGCGTTTTAAACACACAGCACGCTGCCTAAAAACTATTCAGGACATCCCAGGACACTACAAAAACTAGGACATGTCCTGGAAAAATAGGACGGTTGGCAACTCTACTCAGACCACATTACATAATGACCACGACTGATCTGTCAAGAACGTAGCGAAAGAGAAGAATCATCCTCCACCACAGTGTATACCATCAGAGGAGGCAGGTCTAAAATTGTATTATAACATCTAAAATAAAGCATTATATACTTTGTTCCTTAGTCACTTTCGTTTCTTGTGTAACTTGTTAAAGATCGCATGCCCACCGGTGGGTCACTCCGCTACGAAAGTAAATTTACACGATGGGACCGGGTTATCACCCGTGGGCACTTTAATTGAAATAAATGTTGGGGTTAAATAATGTCTACTTCAAATTATTGTACACTAAAAACATATTTAAAAAATAATATACGTAATTTACAATAAAAAAAATGCAGGTCCCTATGTGAGAAATAAGATTTTTCGATATGGTCTTAAACGTGTTAAGAAACAAACATTGTTGCCTCTATATTTCACAGTACTCTGTCCATTCTTTCTCATTATTAGCGCAAAGAGTTGTTTTATTCAGACGTCGGTGAGTTAGCACACAATTTCCCATTTACCTCGTCTCATCACACATACATTGACATAAAATTGTACTCTACACCTACGTGATAAGCTTCATATTCGCTTGACACAAAATAATGACAGGAACTCCAACAATGTTAGACATAATTGTAGTTCTACGTCGTTGAAAATACAGTTGACTTTCCTTTGCATTTTGAAAGTGAAAGAATGAAAACTCTTTAAGCGACCGATTGGTCTGAATTAAGGAAATAAGCAGTTTTAATTGCCAACGATTATTCGAGAACGATTTTCCATTCGAGTCTCGTTGCTATCTCGAAATTAGTTTTTGTTTGTCTACTCGAGTGTTGTGAATCGAGTTTTGGACGTAATGAGTTTGGCTGTTCATTATTGTTTTAGAGTTCAATGTTTTGTACAACGGGAATATTCCTTTCTACAAAGTATTAAATAAATTAGTATGTGAATATTCGTTTTATTTATTAAAACATAAAATAGATTACCATCAGTACAAGATTTATTTCAATCATAATCATGAATACAAATGTTTGTACCGTGCGAGTAATCGATTCCGCGACCATCAGAAAAATAGCGGCGTGTTATACAGCTAGACCTAGGTAACTTACTATTTACTTTTGTTCATAACATTAATACCAGATTTAAAGACAAACTAGCTGTTCCCAAGTATCGTTTAAAAAGTCTATGGGTCTTTTATGGGAATGGCTATAAAGATTTACAAGGACATACTGTAATTACCCTTAAATAAATTCAAGATATAAGTTAAATCATATTTATTGAGCAAAGCCTATTACTCACTAAATTGTTACTTAAGTGATGAGCGTGCATGGCAATAGTTGTTCATGCATGGGATTTTCATTTAATGTTAGTAGAGTACACAATGTAAATAAACTGGCTTTAAAGAAGAAAATCAAGAAATTCAAATGCGTTTCTTGTCAATTCTTCTCAATTGAATCTGTATACTAAACTGAGTGGTAAGCAAAACCTATAATATAATAATTTGATGTGCAGCTAAAATGTCCTACATAAATAAATGGTTAATGTAGAACATTTTTTAATTATGAACTTATCCGTTAATTGTATAGGTAATAAATGAAATCTATCACATTATAAGAATTCAACTAGAACAACCTGAGTTGTTCGTCTGTCTGTTTCAACAAACGAACAGCTCGATGCAGTCAATGGAATTATCACAAACAATAATTTTACAATATTCAATCTTAAATCAATTTGGGAAACGAGAAATTCCTTTTTGAATGCACTTCGCTCTATTGTTGTAGGGTTGCCACTGTTTAACATGTTAAGGAACGTACGGTCTCGGTGGTTTAACGGTTTAGCACATCGCTTTACTTCCGATGGTCGCGGGTTCGATTCGATTAATCTATCGCTCATTTGGAAAGCTTATTCATCACAAGAAGAACGCGCAAGAAACTTGCATGTTGCTTTTTTAAATAATTTAATTGTAAATTTACATTTTTAAGTTGAAATGTGTGAACGCAAACTACCAACTAACACCAATTTAATAGAGTTAAATACATAAATAGAGGAAATATTAAATACACAATCAACTGGTTAAGTAACAGTCCCGGATCTTCAACACTGGGCCCATGCCCCGGGCGGCAAATTCGATCTTAGCAGAGGAATACACATCTCATCATTAATGCATAATTGATAACTTGATAGTCACTGGTATTTGAAAATGCTACAATAAATAAAAATTAACAAAACTTAACAAGATTACAAAATATTAAAATTGGACAATAACAAAATTAAATAAAATATTAAAATTATTCAGGATTAATTAATTTTACTCG